GTGGTTTTTTTTAGGGGGTGTGGCTTGATTTTGGCTAATAATAATGTTATTTAATAGATAACAATATTAATCATCATAAATGATAATTACCAATACATCTTTAGTAAAAATGAGGGGCTGGGGAGATAGCTCAGTGGCTTAAGTACCTGCCTAGCATGCACATAGTCCTGAGTTCTATTCCTGGTACAAAAAATAAATAAATAAATAAAACTGATATATAGGAGGGGAAGACAATCTGATAAATATTTTTCAAAATTATTTGAATCTTGGAAATTTACATAATAAACACAGAAATCAGAAATTTTTTTTTAAATTGAAAGGAATTAGTTGAGAACAAATTTTTTCCTTGTAACTAAAAGAAGAAAATTAGTTGATGGTCTATGACAATACAATGAATAAGGTTTTTTTTTGCTCCGAATGCCCTCAGGGGTGGTTTGGCTGGCTGGAGTGTTGTGGGGATCAAACTACAGCAACCTGAGGCTCACAGCTTTGTGGAAGCAGCCACTTAAACAACTGAGCTAAGGCCGGGCCCCAAAAAGCTTAAACAAATTTCCTTAGTGGATTTTTTTTTTTTCAGAGTTGGGGATTGAACTCAAGCCCTTCAGCTTCCCAGGCAAGTGATTATGCTACTGAGCTATCTCCCCAGCCTCTATGACAATACAATGAGAGGTCCAAACCAAGTTTGTATTTTTGTTTTGATTTTCTTTTCAAAGGCAAATTGGAAAATAAAGATAACTTATAGGTGTCAGGAACTGATCAGCCTGTAGAGTTCAGAGATGAGCTTATGGTAAAGGATTAAATAAAGACAAAATACAGTTGTGGTTTAGGGCATCCAGGAAGGTCAGAACTCTCTTGGACATAAGACAAAGACTTCTCTGGATTTCCTATTGTCTTAATTATTTTTCTTTCATTACTGGGACAAAATACCTGACATCCAAAGTTAGAGGAGGAAAATGTTTATTTGGCTATTTGTGGAGTTTTCGGTCCATAATCAGTTGGCTCCAAGGCAGGGTGGCATGGCACATGGACAAGAGTTTATGGTGGCAGAAGATAGCAAAAACAAGAGAGCAAAAAGGAAGGAGCACAAAAGAAGACTCTTTCTGTCCCTCATATTGTATGTGAGCTACCCAGTCTAGGGTGGGGGTAGCACTCACAACCATAATGCCAACACTAGACAGTGAATGAATCACAAACTCCAGATTCAGCTACCTCTGAAAAGCCACCACCTGTGACCGCATGGAGCTTTGGGGGCAGATTCAGAAACAAGTCATAAGACCTGTATTTACCAGATTTCAAACAAGTTGGGGGTTGGACAATAAAGCTGAGCTAAAGGCAAGAAACTGAGCAAGACCTTGAGAGACAACAGAGCAAAGACACTTTAAGCAGTAAATCCTGTTGTCTTATCTCTTGGTTTGGCAGCTATTGCTCTGGAATAAGGAGTGTCAGCAGCACCACCACCACCCACCTCCCATCCTCCACTGCCTCAGCTGTGGTGTTATTTTGCCTTCAGAGCACTGTGGTGAGAATTTAATCATTTCACAGCCCAGTCCTCAACATAGAAGAATTAAGTGAATTAGACAGTATTGCTTTCTGGCCTTGTCTAGAACATAAGATCCAATTAAGAACATCAAGTTGAAACTTAGAATTTCTGTTGTATTTGGGATATAATTCCAAGTCACGTAAAGTGTTCTTGGTTCCCTAGGGGTGAGGGAGGGGTGAGATGAGATCTTGCCATGTAGTTCAGGCTAACCTTGAATTCATTATGTAGTCCAGGCTGGCCTGGAATTGGAGCTAACCCTCCTGCTTCAGCCTCCCTGAGCACTGGAATTACAGGTGTGTGCCACCATGTCTGGCTGGTTTACCAGGATTTCCAATTGTTGAAATCCTGTGGACTTGTTGGGTTATGCCTTATTTAACAAATATTTATTCGTTCCAAGAAATAAATGGCAATCATATGTTTTATTATTGTCTATTGGTTTATAGATTATTTAGATTCTCACCATAGCAGAACCTCACCCTCTAATTGCTGTTCTTACTCTTGTTTTACTGGTAAGCAAGTCAAAGTTTCTTAACCTTCAAGAGAAGTTAGATGAATGCCTCAGTCATGGTAACACATGGTAAAACTGGGGCTGAAACCTGGCCAATCTGGCTTCTGCATTAATGTACTTAATCACTTAGCTGTTGCTGCCACAGAGATGCTCATGCAAGAACCTCTCCCCAGAAAAATAGGTGCACCAATTGCTTATTATTTTCAACTGATGTTTGAATTCACTGGCCTCTATTTACAACATGAGTTTCCAAAATGTTGCTGATCCTTATATTTAAACAAATGACTTTCGTGAATATGCCCGATTCATGTGTGCTGGTTAATCCTGCTTATCAGTTTGACTGCATTAAGAGACTCCTGGAGAGGTGGCTGAACAGTGAGGGCTCTTTGCTTATCCATGAGTTAATACATTAACTCAGCTGAATGGGCTGCCTCAGGTGGGCCTACAGGGAGGAAGTGGGGTCCCTGTCCCTGACTAGATCTGGTCCCTGGTCCCTGCCTCCAGAGCCTTTCCCCTGCTCTCCTGGATGTCTTTTTTTTTTTTTTTTTGGTACTGAGAATCAGCCTCAGGACCTAGAGTTTTGCTAGGCCAGTGCTGTACCCATGAGCCATAACTTCAACCCTCCCCTGGATGTCATGAGCAGCTTTCCTCCACTGTGACCTTCTACCATGACCTTGCTGTCTTGGAGCCCACCAACCATAGACTGTCACCTGTGCAATTGGGAGGCAAATTAAACCTCTCATCTTGAAAACTGTGGATGTCAGGAATTTTGTTCCAGCAACAGGAAAGCTGTGTAGTACAGGTTGAATCCCTGAAATGTTAAATGCTTTACATTTTCAATAGGAGATGTTTCTACTTGGCTTCTTTGAGGGACTGGCACGAAAGGTGAACTGCAGTGCTCATAGTCCAGGACTTCCCTGTGCTGTGCTAGATCAGACACCTTCACCTGCTCTAAAGCGTGCCATTCACATTGCAGAATTTATGCTTTGTGTCTTTGTATCCCATCATATGTATAAAATGTCCGTATGTTTACATGAGATATTAAATACTTCATTATAAAGGTTTTGTGAGATGATTTTTGCCAAATGTAAATTTTCTGAACATGTTTAAAATGGGCTAGATTCAGCCATAATGTTCAGTATGTTAGGTACATTAAGTACATTTTTGTGCTATCTTCATTTTATAATGAATTTGGGGTAATCCCATTGTAAGTTAAAGGACATCTATATTCTCATTGTCTGTATACATTTTTCTGGTGCCCTTTATTTCCTTGCTTATAGTTTCCTTTAGATCACTGAATATATTTATGCTAGTTGATTTAACATTATTAACTAATAATTCCAATGTCTAGATTTCTTCAGATAGTTGCTAATTCTTTGTTCTTGTGAATGGACCAGACTTTCCTATTTCTTTGCACATTCTGTAATTTTTTTATTGTGAATTAGGCATTGTGAGCAGTATATTCTGGTAACTCTGGAAATTAAACTCTGCCACTCCTCAGATTGCTGGATTTTACCTGTTGAGACCTGGGGTACTCCTTAGTGACTCTACAAAATTATTTCTGCAAAATGTGTGCTTCTGATTGTGGTCTGTGAACTTTTTCTTCCACTCTCTTTTCATCAACTACTAACCTTTCCTTAAACGTCTGGCTTGAGAAGTGGGGCAATAAGATTCTGTTCGATTCAGTTTTCCTCCCTGGGAAGCCATATCATCCTATAGCATTTGAAATAGTGGCTGACCCCTGTGCAGGGCCCTCAGCAACCAGTAATCCAAACACATAACCCTGATTTTCAGAGTGCCAGGTCCTACTGCCTACTTGGCTTCAAGGTCCTACTGCCTACTTGGCTTCAACAAGCCATACCAACAATGCTTGCACTTTTCTGTGGGGCTGTGGCTGGGATATGGTATGACTACTGCAAGAAAGCTGCAACTGACTGATATGCACTACCAGTTTTTTCTGCAAAGATTCCTTGTGGGCCTGTGTGTATGCTACTAGGTGTACTAGGTGAAAACTTTACAACAGTCCCTTCAGATGCCTCTGCCAGTTCGCTGTTTTGGTAGAGAAACAGATTCTCAGACCTTCCCAATTCTATCTTGTTGACATCACCTGTGTATTTTGTTTTTGTGGACTTTTTCTCTGTACAGAGGATTGAACCCAGACCCTTCACATTGAGCTACATCCCAGCTCCTGTTCTGAGACAAGATAATGCTAGATCATTCAGTTGCCCTGGCTGAGCTCAAAATTTGGTCCTCCTACTTCAATCCCCTAGAGTTCTGGGATTATTCTTTTTGAATTTATTATAGAAGTCC